GCCTTCCCAGGGTCAAGAGTGCTTCTTGGAGCTTCTCCACCCCCGGCCAGGAGGAAGGATGCTGGCGCTGTCTCCCCATCACATAGACTTACCGCGGGATGTTCTCAAAGGGTGGGGGGAGGGTCTTTTTATTTGACATGGAAAAGGGATGGGAAGGGAAGAGTCATGGTTTTGTTTTGGTTTATTTTGGGTACGTCAGGACCTAGTCTCCAAGGCACCAGGTTTCAGGTGCTGAACTCTTCTTCCTTTTCAGAGCGTGGCAGGTGGACCGAGGGAGGGATGGGACACGCTCCCTGTGAGAAGCAGCATTTGCTGAAAGTCCATTTGAGAAGTTCTTAAAATACATATATATATATGAAAATATATATATATCTGCGTAGATATATATATTAAAATGCCAAAAACCAACCAACAAACACAGTGATCTCAAAGAGGCCTTGAAACGCCTGGAATTTCAGGGGTTCTGTGTCTTTTGTTTAGTTCTGGGATTATCTTTTGCTTTTTATTTTTTACCTTTCTGTTTTTGGGGTGCAAGTGGTGGAGCCTTTTGAGGAAGGTGAGGTGGGAGCAGGCAAGGAGTGCTGGGGAAGGCCGCCCTTCCCTGCCAGTGGAGGGAAGTGGTATTTGCTGCCCACTGCTGCTCCCCAAAGCGTCCATGGCCCCTGCTCTGCGCTCCCGTGACTCTGAGCTCTGCCCCAGGCTCGTGAGCTCCCCTTGTCCGTGACCCACGGAGCACCCTCAGCGTGGAGGGTGACTTACAGCCCCTGTCTGGCAGCGACGATGCCGCACAGCGATTGAGAAAACCGTTAGCCTGGGATCCGGTGTGAGGAAAACCTTTACTTCCCTAGCAACAGCAGCAGCTCACCCTCTGCTTGGTACAGACGTGGGTTTTACATTGACGAGTTTAATTTTCTGATTGAAAAACAAATTCTATGCAATTTCTGATTGTAAAAGGAAAGAGGTGAGGATGGAGAGGGGCAGGGGAGATAAAGCCGTGAGTGAAGGGTACATCCTGTTCTTGAATTGTTTTCTTTTCTTTTTGTCTTGAATGTACTGAAATAAAAGATGTCCTTGTATAATCACGCTTTTTTTTTCTCTTTCTTTCCCTGTCCACACTCACAAAAGTCGTGAGACAGTTTGAGGCCCATCTGCTCAGGGAGAAACCCAGCAAGTCCCCAGCTGAAAGGGAAGAGGTGCTTTGGCTGTTGCTGCCTGAGTGCATCTGCACCCGTGGTGTTGCCGTTATCTGTAGCTGAAAGGAAAAAAGAAAAGGCCAAAAAGAAAAGACAGCCAAAGTTACATGATGGTAAGGGGGAAAGAACCCATAACTACCCGCAGTGCAGTCTGTCCAGGGCCCAGGTCCCATGCAATGAGGACCACAGCAGCGACAGCCTTCCCAGACCTGCTGGTTGGAGCCTGGTTGAGCAGAGGCTGAGGGTTAGGTACTGCGGGTCAAATCCATCCCTGTCTCTAACAGGGCATCCTGAGGAGGACGTGCAGGGAGCGGGATGCGATGCCACAGAGATGGGCATGTTAGGGTGGTTCTGTCGTTTCCAGCAGCGTCTGAAAAGAAGTGTCTGGCACACAGAGACAGGAAAATGTGCACGCTCAGAGAGTGCTCATGCAACAGGGAGAGGATTTAGAGCTTACGTAGGATGCCATAGGAGGTGTTCATTGAGGTACTTCCTGGCCTTCATATCTGGAAATCTGCAGGAGTTACCCTCTCACTGACAGGGTAGCAGAGCAGTGAAGGTGTGAGCATGAGATGAGGTAAGGCTTTGCCAGAGCCCAGGAGTGGATGGGACCAGAGGGGCAGATCCTCAGCTGAGGTAAGTCAGCAAAATCCCTGTCCCTGCACTCTGCAAGGAGCCAGGCTTGGGCTTTCAAAGCACTGACAGCAACACCAGAGACATCTGAGTGTGCCTGTGTTGTCTTTAAAGGACAATATGTTTTTACGAGCAGCAGAATATATTCATCAAAAAGAAGCTGCTTTCTAAAATTTATTTACAGATTAGCAGAAGAAAAGACCCCATGAATCATTTATGAGACCTGATGTGTTTTCACCCCTTCACCGCAGTGAAAAAAGAGGGATCTTGACAGAGCCAGACATTATTCCTCTGCTGCTCCAAAGATCTTGCAGTCGTCTGCTCCGAGGATGTCAGGGAAAAAATTATGAGAAACCACCTGGTTTCTCTCTGTCTTTGCTTTTTATCTCTCCTGCTATCTTGTTCCGCCCATGTGGTTATTTTATATCTGGGTCTGTGTTTTAAGGCTATTTTTTTCATGTGCCTCTCGCCCGCTTCTCTCTTTTTTAATTTGGTTGGGTTTTTTTTTGAGTGTTCAGAGTGTTTGCACTCAGAGCAGAAGTTGACCTCAGCAGAGGAGTGGATGGATAAAAGCTGCTGTCATTTGGATGCCTTTTTTAGTGTCTGTAGGTCACGTATTTTCTGCTCACCAGTAAATACCTACAGATTTTGCACTGGAGGGACCCCACAGCTGACAGCCTTACGCACAGAGCTGGGCTTGTCCTCATATATACATGTATCCAGATGGGTTTACAGCTCCCGTGTCCTCTCTCTCCCCAGTTTTCACTGTTGTCTTTGAAACTATTGTGGGGGTTCTTTTGCTCAGCCGGTCCCAATGCTAATGCAGTTCGTGATCTGGAGTGGTTTGCCCTCCGAAAGGCACTTTCCCAGTATTGCTGTCTCCTGATAAAAACTTGAGTAATTCTAGTAAGATATCTCTGCAAATTCCCCTGGGAGCCAAAGATTAGATCAATTAAAATGTAATACGTTGCTTTATCCCCTCTGTGTTGTTTGATCCTCCTGCTGCCTGCTCTGTTCCAGGAGCCCAGCAGTGGGGCCGAGGGCTCGCGTCTCTCCCTGCGGTGCCAATTCTGCAAGCCCAGCTGGGTCAGCAGCAGTCTGGCAGATTCCGAGCTAAAAGGCCTGGGATCTCAACCCGTGCACTAAACCCCATGTTGGTGGTGTTCTTCCAGGCAGTTCCATTTTCACCTAATGATAAAAATCTATTTTCTCCCCGGAGGTTGCATGGGTGAAGGTATTAACAAGGCTTGATCTAGCCGGGGGGTATTTACTGAACTGCGTGGCTTAAGTAAAACAGGAAAGGGTTGTTCTGTGAATCGTGAGAGCCCACAGGGCTTTGGGAAGAAAGATGTGAGCTATAAATTATAAAATAGAGACTGAACCCTTTGGACCTTAGTGGTCCTGAGGCAGGAATCTTCTTAACCATTTCAGACCCACAGAAATCTTCCCTGTTTCTGCCCTGCCGAGTGTGTCTCTCTCCTTGAACCCTAAGTGCTTCAGCAGGTAAGTGGCCCAAAAGCTGCAGGAAGAGGCAAGGGAATAGCTATTGTTTTGCTTTGCTTTTTTTTTTTTCCACAGAGATTCCAGAAAGGATCTGAAAGGAGTGCAAGTCCCAGCGGCACCCGAGCTGGTGGAGATACCTACAGCACTGGTAACTGCAGCTGTGGGCACAGGGTAGCTGGGCTAGACACAGGAATGTGGGTAACTGGTTTTGATGGTGCTTGGGTGATGACTGTTTGAATGGTAAAGACATCCCTTGGGAAAAGGAAAGGACGTGTGGATGAGGTCTCTTTGGTGGAGCCTCACTGATGACTGGTTTCTAAGCTTATGAAAGAACAAAGAAGCAAAGATGGGCTGCTTTGGTGTTAGGTCTGGGGGGACACTGCCATGATTTGGCTATGAAAAGGCTGACATGAGTGACCAAAGTCCCCTCCATCGGCTTTTGTGTCATTTTGCTCTGAGATTAGTTACCTTCAATATAGAGGTTTCTCTCCTCTACTTCACTTGTGTCAGCAATGAAAGTGATGAAATTTCTTGTGGTGGCTTTGACGAGAGGGGAGAGAGTGGCACTGCCCATCAGGTGGAGAGCCCACCAGTGCGGCACCGCTCCAAAGCAAGGGAAATAGCCCCAGTGACCTAGAGGCAGAAGTAGGCCAGTGATCTGCAAAAGGAACCACAAACTGCTGTCAGAAATGGTTAAAGAAGTAACTCCGGGCTCACACTTCACGTTTGCAAGTCTGCTGAGTTTTGCCTCTTCTTGCTGAATATCTAACCGTGAGGGGACAGCCTGAAAGGAGGAGCTGCAACTCGAACAGAGCTAGCAAAGCAACGGCTCAGCATGCCGAAACGCCTGCTGAAGAGAGGATAAAGCACCCACAGTTCCAGAAACCCCATTAGAGTCTGATGGCCGCTAACTGATTGAAAATACAGAGCCGAACTCTTCTGGGTACAAAGTAGTACTGATGAATTCAGTATAAATAGGCTCCTCTGGAACTTGATACCACACTGGGAAATCAGCCCCGTATCAGCTGGATCGGACAGCGGGCAAGTTTATGCATCCTTCAGGGAGATTTTTTTCCCCTCTAAGGGGGAAGCTGCTGTGCTGCAGCTGAGTTAATAGTCTGATCTGTGGCAGGGGCTGCAACATTTCATCCCAGAAAGCATTCCAGCCGGCAGATGAAGATCTCCTGCCTCGCCACCAATATGCGGCTGGCTGAGGGGACGCACAGCAGTCCATCAGCAGCACAAAGGGCCACACAGCAGCGGCTCTCTGAAAGCTCTGCCGAGGCCAGACCAGTAGGAAAATGAAGGGAGCTAGCTTAATTAACAAAGGCTTTCTCCTCTGCCGTGTTTAGGTCTGCAGTTATCAGC